TCCATGTCTTAATAATGAATTTGGTGAGATATGGATCTCTTCGGATGCAAACGGCAAATCATTTTATGGTTCCTCCGATCCTTTAGATAAAGATCGTCTCTCGGCGGTTGTGGAAGGTGGCGATCCACGACGGACATATGTTCGAACAGGCGACTTGGGATTTTTGTATATAATACATAAACCTGTTGGCGATGGAGGAGCGTTGGTAGAATTTCAATGTCTCTATATTCTAGGACCTATTGCAGAAACTTTTGAAGTGCTAGGATTGATACATTTCCCCGCTGATGTAGAGTTCAGTGTTGAACGTTGTCTTGTTCAACGATGCTATCAATCAGCGGCACGTGATAACTGGTAAGTATGTTGTCTGGAGAAATATTTTGTGATGCACCATTGGTAACGCCTTTTTCCTGCTAGTGTAATATTCCAAGCAAATGGGGAAACTGTATGTATTGTCGCGGTTCATCCTCCCGAAACGGCGTTAGCTCTTGTTCCGGTTATCGTAAATACCATATTAGAAGAACACGGATTCACGATAGATATAGTCGGTTTCGTTGCAAAAGATAACATGCTTAAATCACGGTATGGTGAAAAGCAAAGACTCAAAATTTGCGCAGCCTGGCTCAACAAGTCTCTGTAAGTATTTTTTGTTGCTTAGTCGATGATGAATTCAGTTAATAACTTTTCGAATGTCTTGTTTTGCTTGTAGTCCTGTGATTTGCGTTCATCGCGTCAAGAATAATGTTACATCCAATTTGAAAACCGAAAATCCTCCGGTCACATCTCCACCCAACAACGTTTTGCCAACAATCACCGAGGCGGAGCCAACCCCCTTGCAATTCGATGCAGTAACACCGTCTGATATTTTAACTGAAGTTTCTAATATTGAAAATGATTACGCTACGAATCATGAGGAAGTCTACACTACGAATCATGAGGCCATCTATACTACAAACCACGAAGAAGTCGATATTGCATACCCAGAGAATGTCAACCAATTCAGTGCCAACTTACCCGAACAACCATCAAATTCATTTGACTTTTCAACTTTCCAAGAAGCGTTGCCGCAAGTGCCTATTGTTACGCTCGAGGGTGCAGATAGTTTAGAGTAGAATTATTAAGTAAATTAACATCCAATTTAATTTTCACACCAACAAACGTTAAATGGGACTATCAGATAGCAATCTAAATACGAATAATAATAGCAGACTTTGATCAATTTTAATCTAAAGACATTTAGTACATAGACATAATTTTTAAAATTTTAATACAAAATTATTTATTTTTCAATAATCGCTTCATTCTTTAATCATGTGGTTATGAATACATCCATGCAATAAGTCGATTGACATATAGTTGGTCTTGACATCCACGTTGGTCTTGCTCCCTGAAAACAGACAATTCTTGCTCACGACTTGCAATAAAATTGGTGACGTGTTGGAAGACTTTTACAAATGCGGCAAATTTGAAGAATATGCTTGGACGCGGGTACGGTTAGTTTGGGCGGCAAATATGTGCTTGCCAGCTTTAAAAAAGATTGAGGCTTTATATGGTAGAATTAACAAGACGACAAGATAACAAATTGTAGAATCTGAGGTGCAGTGTGCGCCCTTTTTTCAGAATAAAAAATATTAACGTGCGCACTGAATCAAGGAGGTTTACGGCAAGAGTAAAGGCTGACAAGCTACCTTAATATAGACAAACTAACGCGAAATAAAAAGAGAACTTCTCAAATTTAGAATATGATGATGATAGTGCGCTTGATAAATCGAATCGTTATAATTATGTTCGGAGTCGAATCGAAATAAGCATCGGATACATCACATAAGATGTCTTTAACTGGGTCATATTAATATTGCGATTCTGGTTAGAACAGCTATAACTGACTCCATTCCGGGAAAAACTATCATAAGAGGCCAACGTCTTTACTATTTGCCGATTGTTGGCTGAAAAACCAAATTACCAGTTTTTCGATAGCGATTCTATGAAAACGCGTGACGGGCAAACCCAATACACAGTGGAACTCGATATAACGGATATCGCTTAGTAAGGAGATTTCTCATGGAACATCCAACACGAATAAGAATTGTCTCGATATATCGGATTTTGTAATCTCTCGATAAAGCCTATACCAAAAAGTACTACACAGTGAAATTCACTTTATCCAAGTCTCACTTTAACGAAGATAGCTTATAACGAAGTATTTTCTGGAACCAGGACGTTCTTAACAGAATAATTTCAGATAAACGAAGATTTATATATAAATTCAGTAATAACGATATAACGAAGATTTCAAAATCCATGCATAAATTAAGCCATTCACTTGGGCGAATTCTTTTCGTTATAGGAACTAACTAATCAGAATCATCTCATTGTCTAAGACTGCAAAAGCATTTCTCTTGTTTGTTATATTATTTCCTTTTATTATACGCTTGCTCTCCGTCTCGAATAATAACAAAGATGCTCAAATCAACTTCAAAAAAACGTCGCATCAAAGACAAGAAAATATCCATGTCAAAAAAACAACGAACAGCATTTACGCTTGCCCAAAAAAAGGAGCCGTGTCAGAAAAAAGACAGTAATCCGCGTTTGAAAAATATAGAGATAGCGAATGAGTATGGCATTGGGGAGGAGGAGAAGGTGCATCAGCAGAAGGTATTAATAGTATTGACAGTCTTCTGTTATATTTACAACAAGAGGAATTAAATGAATTGCAAACTTTAAGCAAGTTATGTACGTAAAAGTATTCTTGGAAATATATAATAAAATCAACAATTTTTATTGGATATTTGTATTGACTAAATCACGTGAAATTTTACTTACTTTCGGAATTCAGATTACCGAACGACTTCGTTAAAGTGACTCGTTTATCTGATTATATCTTCGAAACCAGAATTCCATTCACAACAGAACATTATTTAGTTTGCTAGTACATCTGCCTTTAGGAAGTAAATTATTATTATTTTGTTTGCTAACAAGCTATTATTAATACATTATGTAGTTTGCGAAACAAAGTCACGCGATAAAACTTGCTCCGTAATATATCAGCTGAATAAAGTTTGTGTACAGCGTTACATGATCGTGTTTATCTTTGCATCTTTTCAAAATTCGTGCCTTTCAATGACTAAACGAGATAATAAACATAAGAAATAATGCAGATGTTTTATTTTACAGTCGCGTTTGTCAAATTGGTTATGAAAACATGGCATGCAATGGTATATGTGGCAAAGTTAAAGTTTTTACTTGAAGCAAATAAAATTTCGTGATAAATAATATTCACTCAGTTTAGTTTAAGCAAACGTTTTGGGAGAATAGTTCACATTTATTAAAATTTATTCATGATTATGTCTTTGTTTTTGTGCACGTTTTTGGTCATAACAATAATATTAATAAAACGATAATGTTAACTAATGTCGTTTTTATGGCTGGTAAGAAAATTTATTACTTCAAACAGACAAATATCAATGCAAAATTGTCATTGCAACATTATATTTAGATGGGTTATGATGACTGTTTTCCATGATTAGTATTAATACACCGTATCATTGTTAAGTTTTTCATTACTCATTAAATCACAAGTTTAACATTTTAACCGTTTAAAAAAAGGTAAAATATCTGCTGTAAATTGACAATATCCATCGTTCGCCACTATCCCCTTATATGTTTTAATCGTAATTTAAAGTTTTGTTTTTTTTATGGTTACCATTTTAATTATCATTAATGCATTGACGATGCTTTCTCGCTCGCGTGGTCTTATAGTAATAATACTCTAGATGCTTTAAGACAGTATTTTTAATTAGCGCGTATTTGAATGTACTAAAAATGGTGAGGTTTGTCGTAGAGACAGTTGGAACGGAAGCCATTCGTAACTAAGAAATGGAAGACAACTGACTTTATGGGGTAATAAAAGGCGTGCATCAACCAATTAAACTATGACAGACAATAACATCGTTACCTTCTGGCCATAAAAAATTTTCCTTCGAATGTGTTCGGTCAGTGAGTGAACAAATTACATCATCATATTTTGGCGATTCAATAATGGTTGCAGGATGTAAGTTTAAACACAGGTGCATAAATAGTACCTTAATATAGACGAGACAATAATTTATTAGCACCAAATCCTTTACAGTCAGTTATAATAGCGGAGTCATCCCATTGGTCCCACAAAAAGAGATAAGAATGCTGCGGCTGACACACATAAACTTCGGGTCACACAAGTTTAATTTCGGAACTGGAGACAAAGACGAACAGCTGCTTAATTTATACATACATTACTTTTACCGAACACAAGTTTTCACTGTCCCAGGTATTATCCCTATTGATTTTAATCGCAATGTAACAAGAGATCTATAAAAATAGAAGCGATATCTCACAAAGCTCCAGCCTTGCATATATCTATGTAATATTGAATGATTGAAGATAAGAATGATGGGTTTTCAAACAAAATAGCCAAAACATTTACAGTAATAAAATCACTAAAATGGTAAATCCAAGCTGCCTCGTGATTATAATTATTATGCACGTTAACATATTAATATTAATATGAACTGAAAGTAAATCTTAGCGTTGTACCTGCGAGTTTAATGACTTCATTCTGTCCACCTGTTCTCAATAGTTGTCCATAAAGCTAACGTCAGTCTGCAGCTTTTAGCTTGCCATCTGACATTAAACGTCTGCGTCGGACAATAGTATGAAGGCCAGGTTGGTCGAGTTTTAATATTAGTTTCGGACATCTTCAAATCCGGACTTGCCGATACAATTATGATCACCCGATTCTGGGAATGTTTACCGAAAACGGGTTACTTGTGTATAAGTTAGTCAATTATTATTTTTAAACATGTGGCAAATTTAAAATTACATTAACACAAACGGATATGTTGTCGACAATTGGTGTTCATAAGTATATATTAATGTTCTCCCTTTTGTACAGTTTGTTTATCAACACCCCTTTGTCAAGAGTAACTTCTATAGAAGATAGACGAACAATCACATATACATAAAATATGATACCAATATTATTTTTAGCCCTGTTGGTAGCATGGGTTTCCGTTGCTGAAGGTGAGAAATCACGATAAAGGATCCAACATTGGCGAGAAAACGTGACAGTCTTTTGACATAACAGTTGATTAATCTTCATACTTTCCCAACAAGCCGCTATCCAATTCGATCTGCTCGATATAGAGGGCTTAAACAGATTCAAAACCATACACTCGAGATATCCTCACTTGGCACGTTCAACCATTGAAACACTACGAACAAAGGCCAAATATGCTCTCGAAAACCCTCATCCATATTCAGTTATCAACACTTCCATAACGCCTCCCAATGGTAACAAGCACGAGTTCTATTCGTTGGCTGCCTACTGGTGGCCAAATTGCGATGGCATTGAGGACGTGCAAGACCCAGATAGAGATTGTCCGTATGTGCGAAAGGATGGACAATGGGTCCCAGACATAAAAAAAGCGACTGATCCCAATGACTTCAATGAAATGACAGCGGACGTTACAACGCTAGCGGTTGCATATACAATATTTGGTGATGAAAAGTATGCAGAAAAGGCTGCTCTCCTTTTGAACACCTGGTTCTTGAACATCGACACATATATGAAACCTTCGGTAAACTTTGGACAAGTTATACGTGGTAAAAGTCATAATAATAAAGGTAGATCAGAAGGCATACTGGAATTAAGAACCATAGTATATATCCCCCAAGCTCTTGCTTTGATCGAGAAATCAGAAACTGTGGGCAAAAGATTAACGCGTCCACTCAAATCGTGGTTTAATAAATACTCGACTTGGTTGGTCACCTCGCCTCTTGGCGTTAGAGAAAAGAATCATCCCAACAACCACGGCACATTCTACATCGCACAAACCGCGGCATGTTTACATTTCGCAGGCAGAGATGTTGAGGCACGCAACTTGATTAACGATTTTGCTGACGGATATTTCAAGGACCAGATAGACAAAGATGGAAAACAGCCGCTAGAAACTGCACGCACAAAAGTATACCATTACGAATGCTTCAATCTGCTTGCGTTGGTGTATATCGCCCGTCTGTCGATAAAACTGGATGGTATTAACTTGTGGGAAACCGAAACTCATTATGGCGTAACAATAAAAGCGGCCGTTGATCATCTGGTTAAAGTTACCAATAACCTCTTGGGTGACATGCAGGCTGGGAAAGAACTAAAGGAAAGGTTGTTCGCGTTTAGAACACCTCTATATGCAGCTAGAGATTATTACGGTGATCCTGATGGAGAGTACGGACCACTTCTGGAAAAACTTCTTGAACTGCCCGGTGGACCGATTGAATATTGGGCACTGTGGAGTCCATATACGTTAGAAGGCCTTTCAGACGATACATACGAAACTTATGCAGATGAATGGAATCTTATTAGTGGTACGGTTATCAGGAATGAGATTAATAATAATAATAATAATAATAATAACACTTACAGTGCAAGTGCAGAGGACCGTTCTGGTATGTTGCCTGACGTAATGATTAATGGTGGACTACTTGCTGCCATTATTCTGATGTGGTTGTTAAGGAAGCAGAAAAGAAGGTCGCTTGTACGTTTGTTAGTCATAATAGCTTGTTTGTGTGCCACAGCCGCTTTCTATAATATTCTTAAAATCCATACTTTATAATGTCAGAATATTTTAGAGTGTTTTTTCCAAAACTTTTTAATATTTTTGTATGTATGTATCTAATTTGGACAAGTAAACGCTTTCCATCACGTTTGAATGAAATTTTGATTCAACATCTTATCCTCTCGGTAAATTTGCCTTTCTCTATATAGGTCAACCCGTGTTACATAAATATCATGTTAAACTATCCTTTGTTGGTTAGTGCATTAATGCTGTGCACCATACGTCTTGTTTACTGTATATGAAATAGCGTGTTTATATGACCCGATCTTTTAATCTATTACTAAACGGACCATCTTCCATATGCTGACAAAAATCCCAGTTTGAGTTTGGAACATCCCAGAAATTAGTTTTTTGCCAAGAAGGATAATTCTTTTTAATCAGATCATGTAGCATTGTTGTAAACAAAGACGTCTCGATTTCAATAAAAGAATGCTTTTGTGTTTACGAAATTGTTCAAGCGTCAACATTCATTAGCAGAGTATATTAACCAATAAATTTCTTGTATTACTAAAATGGAATAGTTATATATCCCACTCTGATATATCGATATCCCAAAAAGTCTGCCCCAAAGTGGGGATATAAACGAGGGTTAACTGTAAAATAATTACAAGGGTATGCCTACGATGATATCAATTACAGAATCGAAGGGGAATATTTATGCTATATTTAAACAGGGCGGTCTTTCACTTAATGTTTCGACTAGTCGGGAAACGTCATTTTTTCGAATCAAACAAACATACCATCATTATTATTGTTCGAGAATCTCTAATCTTTTGTCGCAGCCACGAAATGAACGATCTACCGCGTTGACAACTTTATTCCGCAATATTAAAAGCAGGAATTTATTCCTAACAACCTTATGAAACCACTAGTCACGTAGGAATGTCAATAATTAGTATCAGCGGACGATAGAAACAAAATAAAAAGTTTCGTAATAACCTTAAAGAATATTGATGAAGATCGATCGTTTATCTATCACCAACAACGCGTTATTGTTATTTTGTCTTCTGTGTCTTATCACCATTTTTCCGTTACTAATCAATAACTGTCGATCTTAAAAATTGATTCTCAATTTTAACAAGCTGTTGGCTTGCTGTGGCGACTTTTGCTATTTCAATTAGTTGTTTCACATCGGAGACTATATTATCTATGGAAGACAATATAATATTTTGATGTGGATGACGTTTAACCTCATCATCTGCACCGCTGCCGAACCCTTTACTCGTCACCAATATTGCAGCAGTATTGGGTGTGCGTCCATCAAGTACCCGGACTACCGTGGGGCCTATATAAGAGATAGAATTTATTATATTTAATAATACCTTTAATATTAATATCAAATCTGAGAGGTTTATTAACATTACCTATATTTTCTCGTTCTCTAAATTTACATTGTATACAAATATTAATATGCGGGGTGTTCATATGTATGTCAACCCCCCCCCCCCCCATCTCCTCCTTTGGTCCTCTAATTAATAATGAATGTGAGTAATTGCATCATTATAGTCATTAACCAATTGAAGAACGTTCACAGCAGGCCGTCCACCGTACGCCAGGACTGGATACCTGGCTGGCGACTTTCGCAAGCTGCGGCCACGAAGCGCTTTCAATTCAAATGGTTAGTATATCTTATTCACCACGCCCGGAACCTAAGTCAACAGACGGTCGGCAACAGAGAACGAACGTTCACAACAAGTAAATCATCAACCAGGAACCATAAAATGCTTTAATGTATCCTATTCACCACGCCCGGAACCTAGTCAGCAGACAGCTTCGTCGGATACGGGAATCGATATAAGATTACACCTTTGGTATTCATCGAAACCCGAATTTACACCCAAGTGGCAGCGTAATTTCAGATACTACATTAAATGATTACCTGACATAATAATTTACATATTGTGGTCACGAAGAGCTTTCAATCTCTGATATTTTACACCCAAGTGGCAGCGTAACTTTGGATACATATGCTACTAAACAAATACTCAGCAAGAATTCTTTACCTCGCCCTAAATGGTTTTAGGTTTGCATCTTTCAAGATTTTAAACACAAGGTCTTCAAACTCGTTACCCTTTTCAACGGAACTCGCCATTCTATAGACTAAAATAAGTTTAGTAATATCTCGTTAAACACACACAATCTACGCAATCGTTACCTTCAAGAGAGAAAAAGAAAAGTTAGATAGATTCATTTCAGATGACTGTTAATTAGTATTATAAAGTAGACAATGGGGATTAATTAAAACAAATATGTCTTTTTCATGTTCACTTTGATATACCAAGTCTAATATCATATCTCGCTTTCAAGACTTTAACTTTTCGCTTATTATTATATTTTAAACCAACCGAGTTTCTATAACGCGCGTTCCGAGATATGATTAATTTAGTAAGTCGTACATGTAGTTTGTACTTTCAAAGTTTTAACTGAAATGTTGAAAATGTAGATGATATATTGATAAGAGAAGTTACACATAATTTATGTCGATCGTTCAAATTCACATGATCGAGAATCTAGACAAGCCACAAAAAAGTTTTCTTATATAATAATAACAGGTTTTCTTGTTACATGCGAATTTTTTAAATGAGATTATGTTGGACAAATCGAAGTCCTAAAAATGAGATTATCGATATGCAAACAATATTAAGATCAAGAATTTCTTTTACTTTATACAATATTAATGAAACTGGTTTTACCCGAATCCTTAAATCGAGCAAACTATATGTAACATCTTAAGATTATCAATCTATTACATCTACTGTATATGAAATACGAAACATTTACAATACAACATTATGCAAACGTTCGATAAACTTGTTGAACTAAATACTGTACCAACATTTCCTTACTACAGTCGACCCTCTCTAATATCAACCTCACGGGACCGGCCAATTTTGTTGATATATGCGGGGTTAGGGGGTGATGACGTCATCTGTAATATGATATACGATACTCATGTTTATAATAAAAACCCCATATTAACATATAATTATTAAACTAAATCAGTTTGTTCACCTCTTATGAATTGTGGACGAAAAAATCTGAGATGGATTAATTTGCTTTCGCTGGCACATATCTTGCTTTGACTTCATAGTTAAGTGCATTCGTTTCTTCCAAGTGGGCGTTCTTATTCCCCATTCATGATTATTATCTTGTTCAGTGTGAATTATTGAGACAGCACGGTTTTATACAGCACCATATTCAATCATTTATTATTATATAATGCGATGGCACATGAAATGACACAATAGGATGCAAAAGAGACATTGCATAGTAAATATTGTATATCAGAATTTAAATTTTAAAATACTAATTTATATTGATGTAGATATCAGTTTAATTAAGAATAAAATCCGATTATGTGTTGATAGGGATATCAACGGGGTATGATATCAAAAATTGATATATGCGGGAGAATTTAAATATGGGGAAATCCGTTCTGTAACTACTGTTGCTAATAGAGAGAGGTGGATATTAACGGGGTGGATATTAGAGAGAGTCGACTGTAGTGTAAATACCCTACCCGCTAACTGAAATGTGTAAAATTTTATTCTGGAACCCTGCTTACTCAACCATATTGACATGCATGGGGATGCATCAGCTATTTATAATTGGAAGAGAAATAAACTTTGAAATAAAACTGGCAAATTACAATTTAATTCAAAAAATAGGTTTAGTATCTAAATTAAAATGGATGGTATTAGCAATGTATATTTATATTAATATTGACGTTATTTATATCAACATGTTACTAGTTTTGTTTTCATACCTGCAGCTGAATCCAAATCATAATCACGACTGTTTCTTGGCTTGGGTAAATTCCAGTAGGCAGTACCTTACTGGAATATTTACTCTCCTTTTCAAGACTTGATAATGGTTTGACATTATTATGATAAATGGTATACCACACAAAGTCAGAATTACCCTTATCTATATCCACATCTTGCCCAAGGTTATAAATATGAGGCCAAATTGTGAATGCATCTGGACGTTTGTCAGGATCAGCATCACAACACCATTCAGCAAGTTTCCTGTATTCTTCTGGTGCTGAGTCAGGCATCCTTGGCCATAGCCCACCCATGATATCACATACTAAATCTCTGTCAAATTCTCTATCTCTAAATGGTGGTTCACCACTAGCAATTAAATACATAATAATACCAAAAGAATATATGTCTGATTCCTGAGTAAATTTGCAAGTATGAAAGACTTCTGGTGCAATAAAGGGTAAAACACCTCGAATGGTTGAATTTTGCTGATGTGAATTCACTGGTTGGGAAAGACCAAGATCACATATATATGCTTCTATCTTGTCTGAATTGTCATGCATAACTACATTCCCGCCATGAAGATCACAGTGTACTAACCCCTCACTATGAATATCTTTTAAATAATATGCAATATCCTCCAGATACTGTAACTTCCTTCTCCATGACAAATTAAAATCATTAATATTTTGATGCAAATGAGACAAAAGACCACCACGGTTGGCATGCTGCATAACAATCATTAACTCATTTGTTTCTGGGTCTTGCGTGACTCCATAAAGTTGAAGAAATTTACTATACCAGTTTGCACACTTGGCATGATTTCTGAACTATTAAATAAAATAAACAGAGTAATTATTATGTTGAATTATAATATCACTTAGTCAAAATATTGAAGATTACTTACCTCATTGATAAATAGTTTATCAGAACCCTTGAAGTGCTTTAGTACAACTGCTTTTAGCATATTGATATGCTTTTTGACTCACCAATATATTTGGCAGTATAGACTGTTCCATAACCACCAGCTCCGATCTTTTCAATTCCATAAAAGTCATAATACTGCATGTACTCAACATCTTCATTGATCTGTTTGAATCTGTCCAATAATAAACATATTTCAAGGCAAAAAACTAGATAATATGCTTTAGTGGATGGCTCTTGAGTTAATATTAATCCAATTATGAAGATATTCTCAGGGGTTGATATTTCTGGATATTTCTGAGTTAGCTA